GTACGCGACATCAAAAGCTGACCTTCTGTCAGCAATATCATCCCAGCTCATCGCACCACGGTCCACTGTCCCGCGAATTTGCAAAGCGTGCACATCCTCGATCGATATGGGCGAAGCGCCTCGTATACCACATTGCGACCGTTGATTACACCCTGATGCGACGCGATGCGAAGAACGTGGCGGAATGGCAGATCGAGCGAATTATACCCTGTCATGGAGATGTCCTCCATACTGGCGGCAATGAAGCCTGGGTAATGGTGTACGATTGGTTCTTGACTGGCGAACCCACGTCAGGTCTGATGAAGAGACTTATGAGCCCCATTATAAGGGTCGCCAGAAGGGTGTTTTTGATGTAAAGCCAAGACAGATGCGCCTAGTCTCTTGGTATGTGATCTGATTGCCTCAAGTACCAACGCTACGGCAATGAAGTGTCCAGTGTCTACTGCCTGCGTTTGTGTCGCCCCAACACAACCCTCCACCGAAAGCGTGTCGGTGGTCGCGACGTTCTCATATCGTTGTGACGCCCTTGAATACGGCAAAGGCATGCATTGGAAAGCCATTGAAATTATAGCTGAGCAGATATAGCAACCTGGAGCCGTGGGGCCAGCTTCGTTCATCGAGTCACGTTGACATGTCCGATTGGGACCGATGAGCAAGGAACCGGATGGTGAAAGCCCATGTTTGTTGCACAGTGTGAATGGAATGGTACTACAACGCTGGCTCTGTGAGGCTTTTCACCAGTGGTCACTAGAGATCAGCCCTAGCACTGCTGTTGTATATCAGTCTTCTGACTTGGGCCTCGAGACCACGCGGTCACTTCTCTACACACCGTCGACAAGAACCTCAACCGAGATTTCATCACTCCGACATGGCCCAACTACAAGCAATGTGCGTTCCCCATACCTACAAACAATTCTAACTAGCTAACAAGTATGCAGTACCGAACGCAACCGCACTATATCACCCTTACTGAGGCTCCCCGGAGAGATTCGTAACAGGATCTACGACTTTACTCTGGGTGGCAATACATGGCATATCGATACGCGTCGTAAATTGACCTGCAAAACTCCGAAAGCTGAGCGCAACGATCACCGAGCTCTGCTTCGTGTCTGTCGACAAATATATAACGAAGCCCGTCTCTTACCATGGTCACTCAGTGACTTTCGATGTGAGACAAAAGATGATCTTCGCAATTGGCTCACCAACTTTCCGAGGGAATGTCGCTGGGCCATCACGACTATCACCCTGTTTGCCTCTTCTGCCGATCGTCCAAATCCTTCGCACCCACGCCCAACGATGTTACTGCTTTTACCAAGAGGGATGATCGGCTTCCAAGACTTTCCTGGTCTTAGGAAACTGGATAGACATTTCGGAGTCTGTCCAGAAAGAGACTACCGTTGTTATACGCAGCTAGGCGATGGGACCAAAAGCCAATCTACCGAGGAGAAGGTACGAGTGGTAATCGCTCAGCCGTATACACCAGAAGAAGAACGTCAGCGGCAAGGTTTTTCGTTCATGGCCTTTACATAGCTGTAGAATAGCGTGCGGTATCCAGGGTATTGTATCATACCCTTTTCCCCAGACCTACAAGTTCATGTACACTGCGGGCACACCTCAACATCACAGTCAAATCGAGACGAGTATAGGCTTTGTGATGTACTTTAATTACTTTTTCAACATTCAGATCATGAACGCCTACGCAATAGGCGCGTAGAAGCTGAGCTTCCCCTTGGGATCATACTTCTTTTTGAGCGCTTTCAGCTTCTTCTGCCTCCAGTCCTCGTGCCCATACCACGCCTTTGGCCCCTCATTACCGTAAGCATAGTTCACGTAGGTATGTAGCTCACTAGACCCTGTACCCTCACGGATGATGTCACGAAGCTGCGTGCCGAGCTTCTTGACGGCGTCGTCTTGCGCCTTCCCAGTGGAGTTGTATATGATCAGAGGTGCAGCGAGGGTGTGCGCGTCGCGAAAGCCAAATGCACTAGCATCATTGCTGCGGTCGCGCACAGCACCACTAGCGTAGTCCTCAAACATAAAGATGGAGTTAAAGTAGGGGTTGTCGGCTCCGGCGATGGCGGAAGAATAGAGATCCCAGGCTTTGCGCTGCGCGGTGATATTGTAGGACTTGATGTATATTGGAAAGCGAGGGTTGTTGAAGCCGAAATCCTGGCATGGAGGCGATTCGAGCGCGATGCCGGTCCACTTCGCAAGGTCTTTGTAGGTACCGGACTGGGGTGTGGCGGCGAGAGGACCAATGTTGTGGAAGGGCGCGGTGTACTTGGGATCGACAGTGGTAACACCCTCTTGGACAATGTAGATGATGATCACCGGCTGGGCATATGTTAGCGACTGTACTACAATCGGAAACGCTCATATCTTACCCCCTCGGTATCGTATCTTGCATCATTCTGCCAGTACGTCCAGTCATGTATATCCGCGGATTGCTTCCCACCTTGAAGAATATACTTGTTGGCCGCCTCGTAGACCTGCTCGACTTTGTCACCACTGAAGACAATCGTCTCGATCGCCCAGTCGTAGTGCTCGATGTCGTAGACCTTTGTGGTAACGGATGTGACGACGCCGAAGTTGTGGCCAGCCCCTTGCATCCCCCACCACAAGTCTGACTTGCTGTCAATCGTCTTCAAGTCTCCGTTTGCGAGCACGATGTTCATGGAAAGGAACTGGTCGGTGATCAGACCGTAGTGGCCTTGGAACCATCCGTGACCGCCACCAAGGGCTGGTCCCAAGTAGCTGACGCATTCGCAGCAGCCGGTGACTAAGTGGTGTTAGAGCAGGCCATGTCTATTGCGACATTGGGAAGCTTACCAGTCTGCTTCCCGGCAGCCCACAAAGTATCTGTGAGATTCTTCACGTTGGCTCCACCACCGATTGTTGCTGACTTTCCGTCTTTGGCAATGGAGATTGAGTTCAACTGCGGTAAATAGATCTCTATACCATATTCCATCTTGCCCAACGTCGTAAGCGTTCCATGGTGGCCATTGTAGGTAAGGAACGGGATGTTGTGATCACTCGCAAACTTGACCTGCGGTGAACGTGTCAGCTGTTGTTACATGTCTGAAACAGAACGCCCTACCGCCTAGATGTGAACTTACAATCTTCTGGACGTCCTTCTCCATACCCGGCGCGATTACAATGCTCGGCGTAGGAGCCTGTAGATTGGACCATCGGGTAGTGTAAGTAGCAAACTCCTTCGTATCGGGGAGGTAAATCTTTGCGGTGGCAGAAAGATACGGTGCCAATGACTCCACGTCGATACCTGCTGCAGGGGTCCTAGAGAAGAGGTCGAATGGCGAAGTAGGAGTTGCCGAGACAGTCGGAACGACACAGGTAAGGAACGAGCTTGCGACAGCCAACGGTGCCAGAACTCTTGCAAACATGATGCCGGTGGGGAGATGTCAAGCAGGATGCAAGACACGGCCGTGAGTTACCAAGATCCTGGAATGTGGCTTCAAAGCATCTCAAATAAGAGAACACATCTGCCCTGTCGGCTAAAAGCATCATGCTCCATGAGGAAGACCTCCGGGCCGCCATGCAGCATGCCTATCGTCAGGGTCCAGACGACGTGAAGGCGGGATAACATGCATCGAAGGATTTAGCTCGGTCACACAATCGGTGCTAATCTGATCCTACGATGATCTCGTCTTCGCTGCGACTTGTGCGCTTGCACGTTATCGAGGTTTGTGGGTCTCAGGCATCACCGCGATTGGCTCGGGGCTCGGACAAGATGCCGCGAGCCGCACCGTTGCCCTGGCCCGCCCAGACGCCAACAGCCACTTCCTATGCGCTAGTCGAGGTGCGTTTTCACCCATATTCTTCCTTGCTGGAAAACTTGCACCCTCGTATTTTACGGACTTTTCGAAGGCATGTATGCCAATTCCTGTCTTGCCAACGACATTGCCGAATGCCGAATGCGCAATGCGGCCATCATTGCGCGCCTTTTGCCTGGGATGAATCACGAACGTGACCATCGAAGACACTGATCTCCTGTGCCATGCGAACATTCACGTGCGACATAGCAAGCCAGAAAACACAGCATTGCTCGTATTCGGCGTGATCCTGATCTATAGCTGGCGAGCCAAGAACTGCGCCGCTTTGTGCCTTCCTCTCTTTGCAAAGTATCGGATGGCGCACTCAGATTGGGTGCCAATGTGACTTCGGGCCGATGTGATGTGATTACACGGGGTATCTGTTGGCTGACATTCTATCGAGTTAGGCTACGCCATGAACGTCTCGGATACAGATCCAGTTCCATCCGTTTTGTTCTGGATTTGTGATTACATTGACCGACCCAGAGTTCAAAAGTGATGGATCAGACTTGAATCGATCATTCAACACCATTGTTGCAGAATACGCCATGGGCATTGTGGAGCTGTGGACCCTCTATGCACTCGCTGTCTCCTTCACGTGTCTGCGAACATACGCCAGGATCACCGCCGTGGGTCCCCGCGAGCTGCAAGTGGATGACTACCTAGTATGGATAGCGATCGTGAGTAGCAACGAATACTCTGGCCTACATTTTCGTTCCGCTAACAATACCTTTACCAGCTGATCTACACCGCCCAATGTAGCCTCGGGTACAGCCTGGGAGTGCACGTACATGGTCTCGCAAATGATGGCATGACGCCGAAAGAGCGTGCTGCGCTGAGGCAAGACGACCCCGAGTATAGATTGAGGTATACACAAAGGCAACTCCTGGCGCGCAATGAACACAAGAGTGGCCCACGGCGCACACTTAGCTAACTGGGCTTCAGAGTCATCGGATCTAAGATCCAGGTAGCTGGCTGGACCACCTCTGCGTGCTTACTTTGGTCTCTCAAGCTATGTGTAGCAGCCTTTTACCTTCGTCTCACGGTGTGTATATCTATCGCAGTAGCCCTGGAAGCTTTGACTGACATGAATCCCAGGCTGGTCTTGGGATGTACACGACCCGCATTTACATCGCTTTCGCATCTATCATCACCAGTTTCGTGATCATCATGTTCACCATATACCTCTCCTGTCGACCATTCTGGCATTACTGGCAGATCAATCCCGATCCCGGAAACTCGTGTCAAGCGGCGATATCGAAGCGTCTCATCTGGGTCACATTTGTCTTTAACGTATCCACCGACGTGTATCTGCTACTTATACCAATTCCCATGTTATGGAAGTCGAGATTGAGGACATACAAGAAGATTGCCGCCATGCTCGTACTTGGCGCTGGCATGCTCGTTATTGTGTGTGCGATATTGAAGAGCATCTATCTGATCACGGTAAGACACAGTGGCACGATCGCTGTGAAATGGGCTTGGAGACTAACCGATCTCTAGGACCCTCTGAACAGTGCTGAGCTCACCGCCTCTTGGGGTACTCGCGAGACCTTCATCGCTATATTCACGACGAACCTCCCCATGATCTTCCCATTGCTCAAGAACTGGCTAACGCCTTTCCTACCCAGTACGATCGGCTCCAGCAACGCAAAAGGGCAAGAGCCTCCAGGCAGTGACTTCCAAACAATTGGGGGCGGATCCGGGCCAGGTGGAAAACGGGCTAGCCGAAGGACGCCGCACCGGGCGCGCCACACTTTCCGGGGCCTGACGCTTGACAATGAGAGTGAGGAAGACATGATCAAAGGAGATGATGTGGCCATGCATCGCATGCAGCGCGACAATGTTGAAGCAGATGGAAAGAATACGATCGTCGTGTGCAGCGAGGTCAGCGTGACATCCGAAGATCATAGCGGTGTCTAGAGAAAGGCATCTTTCCAGATCAGGTAGTGAGTTATCTTCGCGCTCCAGTGCCAACGCAACTATACGCGTCTACAACATCATCTGACCCAGTCTTTCTATCCGTGGCGTTCGCGATGTAATTTGAGTCAGTTCCTACCGCATTAACACTACGCAACTGCTCCTGAGGCTCACACAAAGGCTGCGTGCAAGGATCTGGAAGTACGCGGTCTGCGGCTAAGTGTGATATTGCTACAAGATGCAGGACACGAGAGAACAATGTTGACTGTAAGTCCAGACCAACCTGTGAGCTTAAGTCCCAAATTTTCTATTGTCGGAGTCTGTCATCTAATGGATACGAGGTACCCTCTCCCTCGGCCCACAATAGTACAGGAACAGAGTCCATACTGGGCTCTATGATACCAAAGAATCCATCGAAGAAAACTTTCGTGCCGGGAGATGAACCCCGATTTTTGCCCAGTGTATTAGTGGCAGCTTGATGGTCGTCCGCCCCGTGGTCGCTCGTGTCCCCGTTCGTATAGGCTTTTGCCATAAGAATGTCTTCCTTGTGAGTGGAGAAGTAGACCGATAATTGCTGAACGACGTCTGCAACTGTAACAGTACCGCTATCTGCTCTGGTAACAAGTAAGGGCTCTGGTCGCTGATAGCGACGATTTTCCTCAAACCCAGGCTCGTCGAACTCGTCATCGCTGAAGCCTGTTTCAAGAGCTGCGAATTGGTTGAGCTCGTCGATGCTGAAGGCTATCTTGGTCAGAGGGATCTCGGAAGCTGGTTCCAATGCGATCGCATGGCCTTCAAAGGGCGATAGACCAGGCTTCTGAGTGTTTGGTTCATCGAGAACGAGAATGTTGGAGACGTCTTCGAAGACCGACCAGCGGAGACGCTCAAACGCTTCATTGAGAGGAATGGCCCCTCGGGTGTTGGTTAAGCTTCCATTGGGGTGATCGGGCAGAGGCGCGGTAATCATGTTGAGGCCGAAAGCTGTTGTGTACAATCTGAAGTAGATTTTGCGAGCATACCTCGGCGATACGGGTGTACGGCTTTGACGATGACCCACTCTGGACCCTTGCACCCGATCGGGTTTAGGACCGAGGCTCGCCAGCCCCGGGCGTTGTCCGATCGGCTAATGTCTTACGAACCTTCACCACCTGAACGGCGAGCACACCAATGCATCTCCTGTGGACTATCACATCTACCTGGGTACCTGGAGACGACATCGACGGACGCGGAGCACGGAGATGAGAACAGATAGGCGCTACAATCCGACGACCAGGCTGTCGGTCCACAACGCTCGCGCTAAAACGCAATGTCACATCCGCGCAGCCATGCTCACATGCCAGAACACAGCACCGGGCCCGTGAAGGCCAAAACCACTTGCAGGTTGCGTTGTGCGAACTTCGAAACGACATTGTTGGATCCATAGCCTGATACATCAACTTCGTGAATTGCCTGTGGTTTGTGATACTATTTCTATGCGTCGATTCCCAACAGGACTCCTTCCCTCCCAGATCCATCGTACATACCATCACCGGAAACATGGTGGTACTGCGTGAGGCTCAACCCGAGCAAATGGCAATGTAAGTCTCGCACTCTACGCGTACTCGTCCGAAGTCTTAGCGACTAACATCTGTCAGCGGCGCAATGAACCAATCCAACTCTCCTCTGCTTAGACTTCCTGGAGAGCTCAGAAATCGGATCTACGAACATGTCCTAGATAGCGGTGTCACTTGGCACATCACATGCCACAAAGACTATGCTTGGCGGAAAGTCGGACGGTATCACGATAATTGCGAATGTGTCATGTGTGGTGATCCGATAGTTCGGGCTTTCGGGTCTGCTCTACCCCAGGTCTGCCGTCAGATACACTCAGATACATGGTTACTCCCCTACGCGCTGAACACATTCGAGGCGGGCTATTACGGAGGCACTTCGATCGATGCTTTAGTGTGGTGGTTGCATCAACTGCCGGAACCCGCAAGATCTGCGATACGCTCTCTTCGATTGAATGAAGGTCATTGCGGCGAGATCACGAACGATGTCCTTGAGACGAGGTTTCCGGTATGGTGGACTCGAGGACACCCGCATAGAGAGCGTCGCGTTATGCGCATGCGCGGGCCTGTAAAAGATATGCGCATGGTAGATGGCGTGGATGAATTGTATGCTCTCCTACCGGGCCTTGAACGCATTCATCTCATCCTCAATGTAAGCAAGTTCGCGGTCAGTTGGAATAAGCCAGATGACGTGGCTGTTCGGCGCGCCAAAACTATGGCCATCGCACAGCTACGTCCCGAAGTCGAGAGGATGTTTGGGCGACCGAATCTTTGCGTGAGTATGGATGTGCATGTACTTGTCGGACACGGCTGTGGTTGATGGTACATGGCGCTTGTCAGTCATCGCGCGAAGCGATGGCTCTTCTTGAGCTAGGTTCAGACACATGTTGATGGAAATGTTATTGGCCTCTAGGTATGCTTGTGGACTACATTGCGAGGTTGAGTTGTAGATGTATAGAGCAGCGGTATCGTTCGCGACGACACACCTCTGGGACGACTCCGACTATGCTTATCTTTTGAGGTGAAGGGGGCAAGATCAAAGTTAAAGTACCACGTCCTGTAGTTGTCGGTTTGTTCTCACGTCGTAGTCTCACTTAGATCTCACGCTTACAATCATCCTGTCGTAGTCGTCACTTCAGCTACTCTCCCACTCTCTACCCACGGACAATCTACGACCCCGCTGATGATACTCGTTCTTACTAATAGCTCGCCCTAGAAGCAGGCAATGTAAGTGCAACAGCCTATAAAGATGCAATCTAGAATGGATACTCAAGATGCATGGTGCTGCTCGCAATTAGCGCATGTCGCCACAGCTCAAGCTACCCGGTGAACTTTGGAATCGATTCTACGGTTACGTACTCGGGAATCTAACGTGGTATGTCGGCCATTGTCACAAGAAGCGAGATGACGAAGACAACGTCTACGAGATATTTCAACTATACGAGGGAACCAAGCCAGGCCGCTACAAGACGAAGTCGTCCTTGGTCGCTATGTACCTTTGAGGTAGTAGCTCTTGAGCAGCTCAACAACGACATCCAAGTCCTGCGGCCCTCTTACACCGCACCCTAACATGATACCCTTGAAGCTCTTGATACCGATTGCCCTCTTCACCTTGTTCCACTCCTTGTCCGTCAACTCCTCTTGCGCGGGCCAGAACGATACGTTAGGAGCATTCAACTCCTCTATCTTCTTATCCCCCCTCCACTTGCTTACAATCCAGGCAGACTCTTCGAAAGTACCTACGTTGATACTTCGAATCGCTCTTCGCAGACCGATGCCGAATCTAACGAACTTGTCCCGAATGATGTAGGCTCCCGCCTCCTTGAGGTACCAATTGTTGAGCTCGATATTTATCTTGACGTGCTCGTTCTTCATCGCGTACATGAGTAGGCCATGGAGGACCTCTCGACGAGGTGGGAAGTCAGGACCCCAATTGGTCTGGTATGTGACCTTGCGGAGCTTGCGGTCGAGACACGAGTCGCTGAGCTTGAGAACGTTGACGAGATACATACCCTCTCTAGGTTTGGCGAGAAGATGTTTCAGAGAGAGCTCGAGAAATTTGGCTTCATCGCTGAAGCCCTTGTGGATCTCGGCTATGCGATTGTACGGCGTGCGCTCGCCAGCAACGTCTTGGATAACGACCTTTTCGTCTTTTGGCGACGAAATGACCAAGCTACCGGGCGTATCGAGAACGTATCTCCACACTCCTTGTCGAAGCTCAGCAGGCAGATCCAGAAGCGCACTCTTCCTATCAGGCTCATAGCGGGAGTAGGAAGTCCCCTTGATGGAGAAGCTCCCAACTTCTTCACCGCGCATCGCGAAACTGATCGAAGCGCACTCGCGATCTACACGCCAAAGCGTTCGTATATCCGCATCGCCGCCTATGCGCATTGTCGATGCGTCCAAGGACAGAGTGGAACTGGTCTTAATCGCGCCAGTAATCGTATCGAATCGGAGGAGCTTCATAGTGGCGCCGTCCAGTGTGATCGCGACGCGCTCCGCCGATGTCTTGTCGTTTTTATACCATCCGGTATAACGCCTAAGCGTGGCGGGATCGAGTGCCATTGCGAAGATAGTAGGATGAGTAGATAAGATAAAGATCGTAGAGTAGGTAGTAGGAGAGGTGTCGTGCAAGCAAAAGTCGAAAAAGCGGACAAAGCGCGGGTGCCTATTGATACAAACGCTCGCATGCTGCTTCACCTTCACTTCTCACCATATGACGTCGCGTAGGGTATAAGCGAGATCTGGATAGCGCGTTCGAGTAGCTACTTGAGTATGAAGGATTCTCCGTTCTCTACGTTAACTACATTCACCTTCTCCTCTTCCGAACCCAGTGCCTTCGCTTTGCCCAGCGCCCATTCCAACGTCCGGGAGATATCCGTAACGATTACCCACAACAGCCCTCGGTATAGTAGCGGCGAGTTGTGTGTAACAATCCAGTACTTTGAGTCCGTCTGCCTTTGCAACTCTAACCCGGTTGCAACGCCGAACGTGGTCTGCCAGTTGAACGTCCAACTCTCTTTGAGTCCGTGAAGGAGGGCAAGCACGTTGAAATCTGGCGTTGACCTATGCAAAAGAGTCTGTAGAGACTCCTGGGAGGTGCGCATCCCGTGCGGGGAGTATAATACCGCTTCGTGTATGTCTGGTGAAGGCGTGTAAATGATTGTGCTCGCGAAGTTGAGCTCATGGTGACCACGGGCTCGGAAGACCGTGAGCCAGGTGGGTAGCGGGCTACCTGGATGCAGCGATGTCCAGTCGCCGTCGAAGATACCCGGCTCCAGGTCTCGGGTGGTGATAATGTTGTCAAAGTGGTTCCAGCCGCGAATGATTGCGCTCGCTTCCGTTGTCGCGAACACGGGTATGCTTGACGCGAAAGTCAGCATCGTCGGCTTGTGCAGATGATCGTCGTACTGGAAGCGTATGAAGATCGCATCAACCAGTGAAGCATCTTGAGTGACGGAGGTTGTGGTGGGAAGGAACCCGGCGTCTGTAGCTGCAGCTTCGACGTCGCGCACAATGCCTTCTACATCGCTGCCGTTGGTGACGGCGGGTGGAGACGATAGGCTGAAGCTTGCTAGCCATATCCCTAATAGATTGACAGGGCCGTTGAACCAAGGGTCGTGTACGATGTGATAGAATGCTTTCCCGCTGGTAGTCCGCTCTTCGTGTGGACGTGGGAAAGAAAGAAGCCATGAGTTATCCCCGTTCAAGGATGTGAATATCGGTCTCAAATGCTGCTTGTCGAGTGCTGCGTTGCCAATCTGCGTCTTGAGTGCGAGAGCACGGTCGTTCGCCATAGCAGTTGTTAGTTGTTCCGAAGCCGCAATGAAGTACGAGAGCATGGAGGGGGTCGATCGCGCACATACGGCATGTCTGACGTGAGATTCAAGGCCACCCGCGTGTGATTCAGCCTTCTACGGATGACAGCCAACAGGTTGCGAGATCCGGGTCGCACAAGGAGGGGTAGTTAAGTAGCGCGCCAGCGAGCCCTGGGGAACGTGGAAGTCAGCAACATGATAATAGTGGGTAGCCTTCACAATACAACTTGCGAACATACAAGCAGGATGCAGCGGTAGATTCCGATCAAAATTGTCTTTTGCGAATCCTCAGTATAGTGCTGTATGCCGTTGTATAATGGTATGTAGTTGCTAAGCATAGCTATAGCATAGTAATGAGGTCGCGCGTGTGACCATGTCGCCCATATGCTACGTCACACGATCGAACCAGATAAGACCGCCCTTCATGTCGTTCTCGAGGCCCACACCGACCGCGACAACCTTTCCAGCCTCTATTCGGATCTCGCCTCGGACAGTACTGTACAACTTCCCCTCCCACACGCCGTGCATCTCCACCGCGAATGTGTTACCGCTGAGGTGTGCGAACGTGAGCATGTATGGAAAGCATCGATCGGTGCAGT